CTCGACAGAGCCTCATGACAAGGTTTCTGATGCACTGCATTTATGTCACTTCCATCAGAGTGCCTGTAAAGAAAACTTGCCTGTCACCCCAGACCTGGTGGTTTTTACAGTCCGGGCACTTGACATCAACGGTATTTTTTAAAAGTTCGCCTGGATCCCCACAATGTCTACATCTGCTCAAAGATCCAATGCAGTCAAAGCCATAAATATCCCCTACGTAGTTGTCAAATTAAAGCTCCAAGGTTTCCCACATTACGGCAATGACCTCTTTGCCGGGAAATTCATGGAAACGATGGAGGCTGAGGCTAAGCAGATCGACATTGCCCTCAAGCTTAGCTTTTGCGAACCACCCCCTTCACTACCACCGTGCCAGTACTGAGCCAATGATCACCAAGCCCAATACGCAAAGCTGGCTCCATGGCGCTGGGACTCTTGCTCCTTTCTGTCCTTCCGTCCACCCATACAGTGCACCAGTCATGGATGCCCCTCCTTTTCTCAACCCACAAGATCATTACAGAAGGGATGCAAGGAAAGAGTGACCAGTCCACGTTACCCCTGATTGTTCGAGGGATGCCTACAATCATTTGTAGGGTTCTGGAAAGACATGACCTCAGACGGACGGGTGCTCAATACTGTCTCCCTTGGATATTCTCTAGAATTCATCAGCACCCCTCCATCTAGCCTTGATCTAGGTGTTGTATATGGGCGATGATATTGACAACCCCGGCTGTCAGGTCTGCTGTATGTTCGTGGCGGTAACACTGCATGGTGTGTTACACCACACCCTTCGCTGCAGCAAGTTTGCTTTTAACACGTATGGTACATTGTACAGTACGTCAGGCCATTATACTTTGCGAGTGACATCTAATTCCCAGTGAAGCTATTGCCCCACTCTCAGCTTGCTCACGTGCGTGCCTTGTCCCGGTCCATAACCCAACGCATGTACACACGTACATGTACTAGACTGTACTGCAAGCTATAGCTAGCTGGTAACTGTGCACTGCGTACCCCCATGTGCCTGCTTGATTGTGATTATATATGTGGGATGTTTATTCAATACTGCATCATATGTGTAATTAAAGAGGCTCACGATTGGTCCCCCCAAATGAATAACTTATATTTTTTAGGAAGCACGATTTCTGTAATTGGCTCTAGAGTATCTTTGAATTATTCATGACGGCATACATGTAACCGCATATCGCTGAGCCCCCCATTTTTGTCCAAAAGTGGATGAAAAAAAACAAAGAAAAACATGAAACCCGGAAGATGCAGATGCTACAAGCCTGGATCTCTGCTGGGGTTTAACGGCTGCGTAAACTTGCCTTGGACAAGACTACCCTCCATACCGCTCCTTGGTCTGACTCCAGTGCCTCCAGAAAAAAACAAAATGAGAGGTGCTGGAGTCCAAGATAGATGCTCCCTTCTGAAACAAGCCATACGCCATGTCCCCCAACACTTGGGAACAAGGCCTTCATCTCAACATGCTTCCTTACACCGAAGAAAGAACCCGGCAAATTGAGAACAAGTTTATAGCCTGAAGAAATTCCACATGGAAACACTCTGGACGGGAACCCAGTCACTAACAGTGTTGTAGTTGAGACCATCAAAAGACCCCACGAGACCATCACAAGACCAACACAAGACCTCCAGCCTGAATTCAGGTCACAAACTATTCAAATGAACCCCAACAAAATCATTCCTTTGTCATTGTTCATTCTGTCATTTGTGACTGGTCTTGTGCACAGTCTTGTGTCAGGTCGAAATCCTGATCAGGCTTACGATGGGGCCACCACTGGTGAACGAGGCATTGAAGGAGACTAAGATCATTTGATAAATATGGCCTGGTAAGTTCAGAGTGAAGGACAGATGTTTTTTATGTTGTTATTTTATTCTGAAAAAAAGTGTCAGGCTAGGCTGGCAGGCAGACCTTTGTATAAAAACATATCCACGAAACCAGGTCGTGCAAGGTCATGACTTTTTTGTTTCCACGGTGGTAGAAAAAGCATTTCTGCATGGTGCCACCAACGGTACAAACGTGGAAAGTTTTGAAAATCCTGCAGAATTGGTCCATTTTTTATCGCATTAATACTATTTATTCAGCAGTCACAGTGCCACTTTACATATACAACTTATTACTTAGATACCATGTGAGTATATTAAACTGTATTCCCCATTTTTGTCACCACCGTTGGGGTTACTCTTTAACAAGAATAATTGAAATGTGTTAGCTGGCCTGTTTGGCCAGTTACATGTACATGTAAGAGCCCAAGGGGGACACACTCATAGGGCAGGCCATAGCACATTTGTGCTTTGGTACACTGTATATGCGTAGGTGTATCTGAGCTTAGATTGCTTCAAATGAGGGAATTTGCCCTGGGAAATTTTAGAGTGCACTTTTCATTTACTATTTCAGTATGGTACATGCATGTATGTACAACTTAGTGTGACCAGTTGACAAAGTGTAGTCAACCGTCCCAGGTTTAATGTCACTTTTTTTAGTCCGGCTGTATAATTAGTTGAAGTGCGCCCTCTCTCGCCATGTATCACAATGTCTAGCTCTGTAGAAATGCGGCGCTGCTATGTATAAATTGTAAGTTGTGGTGTTGCGTATGTAGGAGTTATATAAATATTGCCTATTAAGAGTTCCGCTGGTGGGGCAACTTATTTGGCTCATTTCTCTGTATATAGTGCGTCTTGCCGTGTAGCTTTGCTTTTCTGCCTTTCGTCTTGCGAGGTGCACTTCTGTATGTCCTGTTATTGTCTTTGCTGCACACTGCATTGCATTAGTGTGGGATACACATCTCCATGTGAAGTTCACACATTGGTATTGATAGTGCTCCTAACTTATGTTGTGAGCCAGCCTAGTTTGGGTGTAGTCCCGATATTGTAAAATTTGAGTTTGAAATTCGGCAGTATGGCATGGTGGCAGTGGACACATGGTGAGTGAGCACTTTCTAATTTTCTTTTAATAACTGTTTGATTATACATTGTACACATTTAGATCTGTATCTTGCACTTTTGTAGGCACATCATGGAACTATGTCCTGTTGAGCTCTAATTTGCTTGAGGTAGTTTCTTGTAAGCATCTTTGCATATTGTTCAGAGATATATATATTTTTGAACATTGTACACTTCAATAAAAATGAGTGGTTGATCATATTTAGTCAACATCCTTAACTTATAATGATTTGTTTCAGTGTTTCATTAAATGTTTAATTCTGATTTACAGTGACCGACTTGGTCCTCCTGTGGACCTAGCACTATATTACATGTACACGTGTAGGTCATCCTACACCACCTTGTATTTGATGTACATGTAGCCCTTCCATAACATCTTGAGTAATTTAATTTTGGTAGTTCGTATTCTCAACAATATTACTGGTGGCTGTGAAACATTTAATTCCTTATTAAACTGATTAGTGCATGTTGATTAAAAAATAATAAGGAATGTAAACCATAAATTCAAAACATATGCTGTGGGAGGGCCGCATATTTTATGCCTAAAATGTAAATGAATCCAGTATATGCATATAACTGTACATGTACTTCTAATATATATGATGCTGGGTCACTTATACAAATGTATTTTCATTTTAATTTACAGATGGTTCCATCATCATATTGATTGTTGTTTACTTTTTTGTTGGTGTGTTGGGGGTTTTTTAAGGTTTTTTGCTTAACCCTCCTATGCAAATGTCATCTGGTACAATATTTTGAGCAGTCATTTTTGCCTGTCAAGTGTCTGGTCTAAAACTTCAGTGTTTAACCACCCGTTTGTATGATTTTTATGGTGCCTTCCCACTGGCCTGCTTTCTGTTTGATAAATCTTGGCCAGTTAGGTGGTTAGGGTTGGGTAGTTTGTGCATGATGGCCAGCCAACAAAAATATATGCCAGGTTGGGCCAAAATGGATTTGACCGTCCTTTGACTGAACCAGCATTAAAGGGGGTTAACGTAACTTGGATTAATCTGAATTAATAATTGAATGTACATGTAATTGTTCTAATTTTCAATTTTAATTGAATCAGCAGTCTATTTTCGAAAATTGATGGTTTTTTTTAAAGTTTCTTTACTCTGCATCCCTGTGTCCTTAACATTTTGGGTTATCCACTACCCTTCTCTTTGGTAAAATTTAACCACTCGGTAATAGTAGGTACATATAGTTTCATCCTTCATGCAATGTAATCTGACAGTACATTTATTTAACTCCAATTTTTCTTCAAAATTTTGGGTAGATATTAAGCTTTATATTACAGCTTTAAAGGAATTGCATTTGACTGAAGGCCAAGCTATGTACATGGACATGTACACCCATTTATACAATCATAGGGAACCACCTTTTTTTACACTCTGCAGTTAGAAAAAATATCAAAAGTATGTGCATCATATCATACAACTGTACTCTCAAATGGTCATAGCTGACATGTTGAATTCACATTGCACAGAACTTTGAAGCACTCATCAGATACACACGTGTACATATATTATGTGAATCCTACTACATGGAAAACTCTGTATTTTTCAACTACTGTGAGAAGTTGAGGTACATGTGTATACATGTACATTGTAGCTATACTTGTACATGTATAAAACCAGAAGGCAAAGGACACTGCTCTGTCTCTGCCATTTGCACCGGTTGAAGCTTGTTCTGAGAAATTAATGAAGCAAATTTCCAGAAAGTAATGATGTAAATGAAGAAAAACTGGTTTTCAAAATTCCAGAAATTAGGGGTCCATTTTTGTGTGTGTCCCTGTCACATCTGACATGTAATTTTGTACATTCAGAACACAGTTTCTAATTTCGAAGAGTGGTGAATTAATGCAGATTACCTGTCAAGCAAATAGTAATAGTTTGAAATTAATTTTGGTGATATGTTCATGTCAAATAACAAAGGTCAGATGTAGCAGGGACACAAAAATGTCACACTTTTGGACCCCCAGTTTCTGGATTACCCATATACCTTTGGATTCCTTCAAATTGGTTGTAATTTTGCCTTTTCAGATTGCAGCGAGAGAACTGAATATCTTCTGTCATCCAGATCACAACTTCATGATTGCCAGTATCCCTGTCCATCGTCTGTTTGTCCACACACGGAGACTGGTTGCCAAGGGACACAAAGTTGGCGTAGTCAAGCAGACAGAGACCGCTGCCTTGAAGGCTGCTGGGGAAAACCGGGGTGCTCCTTTCCAGAGGAAGCTTTTGGCCCTGTACACAAAATCCACTCTGATTGGAGAAGATATCCTGTTAGAGCAATGTAAAGCATTTTATGCCTTTGGATTAAATCCCAAATCAAATTGTGTTTCTGCCTGTACAATAAATGTGCAAATTTTTTATCTTGTCTCAGTCTAATCATGACATGTTCATTTGGCATTTGTCTGCAGATGGTTGTCTCAAGATATGCCGAGTTAAAAGTTTAGTAAAAGGGGTTGGAGAACAAAAACATGTGTTAATGGGGTCAAGGAAAGGTAAAAAGGAGTAAAAGTCTTTAAAAAAAGCTGTTTTAGTTTTATGCTGAAACAGCAGTTAAATACTCAAAATTAAATTACAAGTACAGTGATGACACCATTATGGTGTCTCTTCATGATTAGCAGTCGTGGACACGAACACGTACATGTGCAAAATTTATGGTAAATTAGTCAAGTAATATGGCACAAGTGCAGAGTATCAAAATAATCAAACTTGAAGGTCCAGGGATGTCTACCCACGAAATTGAACTTTGAAGGCCTGTTACCTAGAATCACAATTATTATATCACCATTACTCTGTATATGGCTTACGTTTGATTATATTATGCATTGTCTTGTAAAAGACCTTGCACTAAAAGGTCTTTATTGCACTAAAAGGTCTCTGTTGGAAGATATTGTTTGAAACATGAGTTTGGGTGAGAAAATTTTTGAAATATATTGACCCAAAATAGCTTGCAGTATTGTAGTTGAGTATTTTTTGAGTACCAAGGATCTCTGTCAAATGTTGAACCGGTCGGGAGGGAATAAAGCTGGCATACACAGGCATTTGATGGTACGTGCACAAAGGTTAAGATTATAAAAGTTTTGTAAAATTTAAGTTTTAAGGAAAAGTGCTAGTCTGAAGTCATTATTTTATTTTTCAATCATACCTTTTTTGCATACATTGTATGTCAAATGTCCGTGTACTACAGCAGTTAAATATAGGTTTTTCCAGCCGAATTCTTCCTCTTCACATGCAAATTAGTGACAGGTTCATTCAAATTTGCACAAAATAGATTGACGATCTAGATAACCATTCAAAAAGCAAAACTTATCATTTAATTTCATTTTAAGAGCATGCGATTGCACAATTTTGTTATTCAAAAAGTGACGGTTCAGTAGTCAGTTTTGGAAAACATGCAAAAAGCATTCAAATTCGTGTGGACACCCCTGCAGTATGTGTTTTGGCATTCAACTTTGTGAAACAGCTAGCATTTGTGAGATTTGTGCAATGTCATTCATTAACGTGAAGTCTTCTAGTTTTTTCTTTTGTGTGTGACTAGTTTATGCAAAATATTTCATGAAAGGAAACGATTTGTTCACGGTAGAGATCTCTATAAAAATAACGATTGGTCAATGTTTATTTGCTAATTTGTATTTTGTTTCTGTTTGAATTGTGAAAAGAATGAACAACAGTGAAGTCAAATTGTTCATATCACACAAATGGACAAAGTGGGGAAATGTATAAAAGTATGAGAAAAAATAGAATGAAACATGAAAGCAAATATAGTGCTTTAAAAAGTGACAAAAAGAAAATAAGCCATTGTTTAAGAGAATCCAAAAAAATCTTAGTATTCATGCACATTTATTGGGAGAGAGTGAACTCCTTTTGTATTAGATAAAGAAATTGCAAATCAGTAAACGGCATCTAAAGGAGTTTTTTGAGCATCCGTGATGAGAGTTTCATTTTTTTTAGATATATATATAAAATACATCCAGGTTAATATATGGGGTACACTTCTAGTGTGTTTTTCTGTTTGTAATCTCCCTTTCAGTTCTATGCGCATCTTAAGTTGCCCTATATTCCTCTTACCTTGAAGTTTTCCAAATTGAAGGCTCAAAATGCAAACATAAATGTCCATAGACGAAATTGGAAGTAAAATTCAGGAGGAAATTTCTCATTCCAGTCACCCAGTGCAAAATCAAACGACGGTTATGCACTTTCCAATTGAATGAAATTAGTTCTAAACAGAATTTGTCAAAATACACTATTCGAAGTCTGTAAACAAATTTGAAGACTCTCCCATATGAAAAAGAAACATGGGAGCAACCAGCTTTTAAAAATCATTGGAATAAACAATAATGAATTTGAGTGGAAAGATGACAATTTTGGCCAGGAAAACCTATATTAAGCAGAGAACTATGGTACTTGAAAAGTATTTGACTACAAGTACAACACTGCTAGTTTTAGGAATACAAGTTTCAACAAAAGTTGTCTGTTTCAGTAAAACATTTCTTTTCTGCTCAGAGTAAAGTCCTAAGAGTATTTTCATGAATTACTTTTTGCCTTAATGACCTTTTAGTATAAGCAGACAACACGTCTCATGGAGAAAATTATTTACCACATTTATGGGATTTGGGGAGAAGGTCAAGCACACAAATTTGTCAAGCAGTGTTTTTGTTTTACTGCTTTAATTGAAAATTTCCTTCTTGCTTTGTGGGAAGAGGTCATGTTCCTCATGTGCCCTGGTAGATTTTTTGCTTCCTTAACTGCTCCTTTTTTACATGTGGACCCAGCCAGCAGCAGCCAAATTTCTGATCCAGTGGACATCGAGGCTTCTTCCTTCATTCCAAGCAACTACCTGCTCTGCCTTAGTGAATTCACTAAGCCTGGTACCAAGTCGAAAAATAATGTCATGTTTGAGTTTGGGATGGTGGTGAGTACATTCCTTCAGAGTTTAGTTGTATGTTGTACGTTAAGTTAAAAAACGTTAAGTTTTCAGTCTCATGGGTGGGGGTAGCAGTCTCAAATCTGAGTACAGAGTGCTCAGAGTACATTGTACTTCAGGGGCAGAGTCCTGGGCCAAGTACAAGTACACTGGTGATGAGTCCAAGACCAAAGCACCAGGTAATACATTCAAGGCCGAGTACTGGGCCAAGTCCAAGTACTGAAGTGCAAGTCTGAGTCCACATTCATGTATGTGTACAATACCAAGATGATAAACGAACAGATGAAATATTAGAGTGAACACATCTATGTGTATATTACTTAAAACAAACACACCATGCACATGGTGTGGTGAATCTGCTGATGGCGGACAGGTCATACTGTCTGAAACATTGATCATGAGTTCTTTTCAGAACCACACAACTCACAAAAGGGGTATCCATGCATAATCAGGCTTAAGATTTTGGGGCTTTTGTCTGGTACCAGATTGAATCTGATAGAAAGCATTATTGGTAAAGGAAGAAATGCACCTTTCATACTTTTTATGCCCAGTTTCAGCATTTGTCTCCTACTGACAAAGTATCAGGCATTTCAAATATTTAGTGTACTTAACTGTGTTCTATATGTTCTCATGCAAAGTGATATTAATAATTGAGAATCTAACTTGAGATGTGAACCTTCCATATTCAATGGCACACAACTTTGTTAGGCCATTCAACCTGCTACGGGAGACATCATCTATGATAGTTTCCACGACAGTGACCATCTTAGTGAGCTGGACACCCGCATCCACCACATCCATCCGGTTGAGCTTCTTCTGCCCAGTATCTTGACTGAGAAGACTGAGAAGCTAATTCAAGACATTACATTAAGCAGGTAATCCTAATTGTGAAAAAAAACAACCTATCCATAATTAATATATAATCCATAATAACCCGAGAATTCTTTTAATCAGTGGCATACACAGATATGGTAGCTGTCTTGTGTAGTCGATTGACAAAATATGTTTGTCATTCTTCATAATTTCTGCCACTTGTGGAAAAAAATTTATCTTAATCGAACAACAGCTACTGTATGCACTTTTGGCTAGTGCATGGAGCTCATACATGTACAAGGGGTGAGATTTGTCAGGATTTTTTCTGATTTAGGGATTTTTTCATCAGAATTTTTCTGATGTGTGGATTTTTTCAAACAATCTCTTTAATATCTAGAATATCTGTGTTTACTATTAAGATGTTTTCATATCTAAAAGTTGATATTGGGCACAAGAAATGGGTATGTACATGTAGGCAAACACATATTTATACCATAGACTATGCTGCTGTGGGGCTCTCAAAACTTCTGGAGATTACTTCATCGATAGTTCACTTTCTTCCAATCTCTCCTCTGATGTACTGGTGGCAGGCACATGACATATCTATTGAAAAGATATCAGGAAAGCCAAAAGATGATTCTGGAGGCTGTACTAAAACAAACCCCATTTTTATCCAAGTGCTCTGAATTTTTGCCTGTACCAACTGGTTTCACTATTTCCTGACTTGCTTAAAGATTAACATGACTAATAATTTTTTTAATGTTTGTGTTAAAAAACAGTCCATTTTTAATTTCTTTTCATTCCATATTTTATTTGACCAGGGGCTGAATTGCATGGTCATGACATGGCTGAAATTAAAAAAAAATTAAATACAAGTAATAAAAATAAAAACTGAAGTAATTAAATCTAAATCAAACAAACAGTAAAACAAAATTTAAATAAAAATAATTAAACTAAACTAATTAAACTAAAATATTTAAGGTGATTGATTTACTATTACACAGAAAACTCGAAATTCACAATGCAATAAATTGGCACAAACAAAAGAAAATTTAAAACAAAGCACGAAGAGAAAACACATACACAAGATAAATATGATTATTTTTGCTGGTTAAGAACTTGGTGAAGAAGTTTTGTTCACGAGGGAATTGCAAAATATACATACCTTTTGGTTTTATGATGAGGAATGAAACCATTTTACATGTCTCTCTGATTTGAAAAATTTTTTGGCAACAGAGATGGAATCTTCTCTCTTCCAAGTTCGGAGGCCTAGTTGATCACATTCAGTTGAGTATGATTCATAATCATCTCCAAGAATAATGGGACAAGCATGGTTCTGAATACGTTCTTTAAATTGGTACATATCAGCTTATTTGTGCGGTTGACATGCCAGACTGGGAGGAGATACTCACAGATTGGGTACACATAACAGGTATATACAGAGACCAGCTCATTGACCGGTAAACCAAATTGTTTCATGCAACCAAACATGTATAATCTGACCTAAGATTGCCAACCAAGATTAGATTGTACAGGCGCAAGAGCCTGGTCTCTGACACCACCTTAAGCTTAGTTCCACCAATATTAAAACAAGGTGGTCTAGGAGGATCTCTTTTGAAGTAAACTTGTATGGCCTTACATTTAGTTGGGTTGAGAATGAGGTAATTGTCCTTTGCCTACACATCCAAGTCAGCAAGATCAGTCCTGATCTGGCTAGACTCATTAGCATGACAGACCTCTGCAAAGGTCAAATCATTGACATATTTAAAATTTTTAGTCCAAGACTCCTCTGAAGCACTATTGATAACAGCCGAAAAGATGATGGGACCAAATTTGATGCCCTGAGGGACGCACATGAGGGGGTTTTCCACTTGGATAAAGCTGAATGGTATTTCACCCGTTGATGTAAATCAGTCAGGAAATTAGCAATCCAAGGTAAGATTTCACTTCTAACACCTGGTCATAAAATCTTTGAATGGCAAGGGTGTGTTCAACACAATCAAATGCTTTGGGAGGTGCCCATAATGTTTCCCTTACCTATACCTTTATGTAAAACATCTAGAATTTCAACAAGCAAGTAGGAAGTAGACGATTCCTTAATGCAGCAATACTGATTTCGATCAATTGAACAATAAATGTCATCCAGTGCCCATTTCGAGACAAATCCTTCACAGACTTTTGGCAAGAGGGATTTCAATGAAATTGAACCGAGTTCAGAAATGGAAGCAGGAGTATCGTTAGATATTACGATTATTTTAGCATATTTCTATGGTTGGGTAACCACACCCTCAGCAAGAGATGATTTAAAAATATCAGTAATGGTTGACTTAATTCATTAGCAAATTCTTTTGTAAACCTACCTGGGAATTCATCAGGATAAACTGCCTTATTTACATTGATCTTTCTTAGAGTATTATACATCTCCCATACCTGCATTTAAGGAGGGTGTCAAGCAGGCAAGAAAGCAGGCAGTTCTGTGTGGTTGATTTAGGGTCTGCTTGTAGAGATAGAGGCAAAGGTATCGTGAATAGCTTCTGCAACTGCTGAAACATTGTCTTTTCAGATATACGGTGCAGAAATAACAAGATGTTATCAATTCCTATTTGTTAACAACTGAATACCCATATGCCATCCTGATGGGTCATTTGATTCAGGTTCAGAAGGTGATCCCTATGATAAGATTTCTTAGCCTGGGACATGACACCAATCATTTTCTTCCCCAAGAACTTCCACAGCACCAATTTCTTACCTAAAAATCAACATGACATCTCCTGATAAGCTTTATTATTTCAGGAGTAACCCAAGGTTTATTCTCTGAATGGATCTTGATCACCTCAGTAGGGAAATAAAATCAAAAGATTTGGTGATTGCGACATTCAATGCATTGGCTTTATCGGTACCCAATATGCTGAAAACCTCATCCCAAGAGCGGCTTGTGATTCATCTCCCAAATTCATAAAGTCTAGATTTAGAGGGCAATACATTTTTTTTCTGTGTGTCACCCTGCGTTCTGTAGATTAAAGGAGACCAATAAACAACATTGTGGTCACTTCTGCCAATTGGTGAGCATACAACAGGGGAGTCATAATAGTTCTCTAAATTTGTTGTGATCGAATCCAAAACAGCATCACCATGAGTGGGTTGTTTAATTACTTGTTTTAATTTTACAAAGTGGATTAGCATCAGTCCAGTTGAAATTACCTGAAATGACTATACCCGTCTCAGGAAATCTTAACTTTAACGTGTCCAGAGTTATTGTAATGTGTTTAATCAGTTTACCTTGACCCCGCGATGCCGGTGGTATGTATAAAGTGCAGATCACTATTCTAGGCACACTGCAGAGTAGATGATGTGGGCGGACAGGAAGCCAAACATTCCAGCTCATCTGCAATAGTGATATCAACCAAGACACTCACCAGAATGTTATCTCTCACATAAATGGCTACCCCACCTCCATGGCTTTCAGATCTAAACTTGGTGAAGAGATTGAAGCCACTCGCTACTCAATCGTCACGTTTGTTGTCAGGATTCAGTGTTGACTGCTCTATTAACAGGGCAGGTATCACGCTGGTTAAGCAGTATTCCCAGCTCATCAGATTTATTTATGATTGATTTGGAATTTGTCAAAAAGAAACCTTGTAGGACACTGGTCCTGTTGGTTTGAGCTGCTGCTGCTGAGCTATACTCTGGGTGTAATCATTCGCTCAAGTGGGATTTGTGATAGCACACGGGAAATGCTAGTACAAGGCTCCATCATACATGCAGACCATCTAGTAAAGCTGTTTGTTGAATAATGTACCAATAAAAAGCCTGGGGAGCAGGTTGAGATATTCTTAGTGTGATTTTGTGACAAATGTGCGTACGTCCATGTCTTCCTCAGAATCTATGATACACACCAATAAATTTGAGTGTTGACACAAGTTCAGGGGAAATCCTAGTTTTTCTCCCTTGATTCAACTGTTGTCATGTGTTGGGTTACCATGCGAAGTACTCTCTTCAATAGCAAACAGTGAAGTTGAGGGAGGCTGCCTTGATAAATGCCAGCTGGCAACGCGTTTGATCTGAGCACACATCATGTTCCTTGTAGTACCATCTAGGTGACAAAGATCTGTGTGCTGTTCAATGGTTCGTCCTAGCCCTGGATTTGGGTTGGCATCAAAGCAAGTCAATACTTGGAACATTGCCACACTGTTGTTACAATATACTACAGGTGCCTGCAGATATATATGATGCTGTAAAGTTTGTGACTAGTGACAATGTTGTTTTGGTACTAGGCCCAGTACATACTACAAGTGGGCCTATAGCTACAACTGTATCTGTATCAGGTTGCTCCATCAAAACAGGAGATTCTACATTCCGCTCGAGTTTGGGACGCGTGCTGGAGCCAGATTGCCATAATGTTTTGATTCCCCTCCCTTAAAAAAAAGAAATCAGACATGGCATTCTTGAACTGATTCAAGTTGGGTAGGTTAACAGTGGATTCCAGTAGACTATTCCAGTGTGGTATGGTGGATGGGTAGAAGCTGGTACTGGTCGATGGTAGGAGATCTGGTGAGATCTACGGTGAGTTCTGGATTGGGTTTTGTGGTCACTAAGCCAGTATTCCCCAGTTGCTTTTTCATACACAGCAGCAGCAGTGGAGCAATTATGAAAAGTGCAGATTTTAACATGATGCTCAATCACAGGGGCAAGAGTCCAGTGTTATATTTGATGAGAGCAGAGGCAGTGACGTGACAACTACATTGAATACATTGTACATGTATGTTGCATACAGTACAGTGCATCCAAATGTTAACCCTGGGACAAAGACTGCCAAAAAAGGGAAAAGACTTTGCATTCGCAGGCAAATTCACATTTTGACTGTTACTTTTCCCTTCTGTGTATTTGCAGTGAGTCTGGAGCAAAAAATTGCAAAAATGGTCTGAAACTTGTGCTAAAACAGTGTGGTGTGCAAAAACTCTGTGTGCAAAAAGACTGCAAAAACTGTGCACAAATAATGTGAAAACTATGTAAAAATAATGTGAAAAATGTGTGAAAATGTCGGTGCAAAAACCTGCTCGTCATATCTGAATGGATATGAGTTATGGTTGTGCACTGGGCCTACACGTACATGTATGTGTGTGGGGACTGAAATGGGCCACTGCGCACGTGTTATACACATGGATTGTTTTTGTGTACAAGCATGTGGTCGCCAGACTCCCTGTAGACACAGTGCAGTAAATTGATTTCAAGCCCCAGAGACCTCACTATTTTTCATTGATTTTTGCACAGATGGATAGGGTTTTATTTGCCCGAACTCCTCCGTGGAAATTTTGCCAAAAAAAGGAAGTTTTCTGGACGTTTGATCTGCCAAGAAGGGAATTTTTTTTCAAGTGGAATTCTAGAAGCTTTTTGGTACATCTACAAGAAACTAGGTATTATTTTTGAAAAGAATGGGTTAGAAACGCCTTAGAAAGATTGGGGTTTAGATTGTGAATTTTGGGCAATGATGTCCACTGTGACTTGCTGAATGGTGGAAAGTGTGGTTGGGGGATTTTTCTGCTCAGCTGTTCTGTTCAGCTACGTGTACTTGTGAACTTTGAATTTGTTGGTGCTGGGATTAATTTCCTTCTCAGTTGGGTAAAAGGTGTGAACATTTTCCATTTGTGAAAAATGTGTGAATTTTTTTCCCAATTGTAAAAAGTTTTCATACTAAAAAAAATTTGCAAACATATTGCTGGTTCATTATTATTATTGCTGGTTTATTTCATTCAAACTGCCAATAGGCCAAGGGCTGAATAGCAGAACAGTTTTACAACAGGGTTTAAAAAGGGCTACTCTGTCTCTTTTCCTGGTGACTGCTTCATTGGGCCATACGTCACTCCATTCTGGTTCTAGCTAACCACATCCCCAGGATACACAACAATCTCACCCATGCCCTATCTCGAGGCATATTTTGCCCAACAGAATGGATGCTGCAACCAGAGGTGGTTTGAGCCCTCTTCCTTGTGACCGACAGGCCTCATGTGGACCTCTTTGCCTCTTAATCGAAAGTTCAACTTCCAACGTTCTGCACTCCGTTCCCACACCCGAAAGCGTGGGTAACAACGCCTGGTGCATTTCCTGGGAAGGAGGTAGAGAAGGAATACTGCCGGATTCTCCTCATTGCCCTATTCTGGCTAAGAGAGCCATTGTTTCCCTATGTTGTCAGACTCCTTTTCGATGTTCCCCTGTTACTGCCTCAGCATCTGGACCTTCTTTTCCAGCCCAGATCCTCCTGCTTTCACCTGGACCTGCTTCATCTACACCTGACGTGTTGGATATTGTCCAATGAATCCTTGAAGCAGGCAGGCCTTTATCGAGATGCTGCCGTTTTGGCTGCCAGAGGTAGACGACTTGCCCATGAGGAAAATTTATGACATCTAATTTGACATTTCAACTCTCGGTGCAGAGGGCATGCTATGGATCCAACTGAAGCACCTCTTCCCTTGTGACAGACTTCTTTACGCACCTATGTTGGTCTGGCTTCCTTGTTTCTGTAATCAGGAATTACAGCTCGGCACTTGCAGCTATCCACAGCGGCTTTCCTGATGGATCGTCTATTTTCAATAACTCAGCTATCTGTCATCTCCTTCAGGGAATGTCCATAGAATGCCCTTCAACTAAGTGGCTCATTCCATCATGTGATGTCCTCCGGTTTCTGTTTGGCCCTCCATTTGAACCTATGGGCTGTGCCTTTTTCCTACTCTTAATTATCAAAGTTGCTTTTTTTGCTAGGACTACAGGGACTGTGATACTAAGGCCCTATCCATTGCTAATGGTCATATGTGATGGGAGCTACTTGGAGTATGCCTGGCTCCTGAGATTGGTTTCCTCACCAAGAGCCAGACTCCTTCTCCTCAGCTCCTCTTTATTTTCAGCTCTCTTCTTTATGTTGGCAATCCAGCTGTTGTCCTCTGACAGACTCTGGTGCCCTGTCCGGACGCTCAAATAGTATCTCAACCAGACAAAGGACATCCGGGGGCAGTCTCACAGCTACTCATCACCATTACCGGACCATATCATCCAGCCTCCAAAGACACAATTGCCAGGTGTTTGGTTTCTGCCACCAGACTCTGACTGACCTATTATGATGATCAATGACCACACCATATCCACACCCATAATGTCCAGGCTATTTCATATTCTTGGGCTTATTTCAAAGGGGTTCCTATTATGGACACTTGTAAAGCTGCATGTTGAAATCCCCCTCATCATTCGCGTCTTGTTATTTCAGTGATGTTTTACAGGGGGACCACTCTCACGGACTGGTCATGCTTGGAACAGCATCACAGTAACTCCACTGCTGGCCATCCTCTACCCATGCATGAATATACACTTAAGCAAGCCATGTGGTGAGTCTGGGTTACAGGAGCTGAGTGAGTGAGGGCGCACTGCTGGGTAATCGTGAATTCAGCGAATGGAGTAATGGACCAGGAAATAATGCATATGTATTGGATTCAACCCACTCTAGTTGGGGGGAGATTTAGTTAAGCTGCCTTTTTGAAGAAAACAATGAGAGAAGGCCATTTCCTTTGATGAGTCTCAAAACACATTTCTGGAAAATTGCTATTTC